GGGAGAGTATTTATCAGATATCCTAGATCTCACACGGGCATCTGTTGGCCTGCGGCATTCCCTTGTCTTAAATTAAAACACACCAAGTCCGTTGAACTTTCATCACATGCTCATCATCTTAACATTAAATAATGATATAATTAAGTCCTACACATTTTCAGTGAATCAATGATTCATTTACTGTTTTCGTGAAGGAATAGTATATATATATATATATATATAGGGTAAAACTGAGTTAAGTATATTAATCCGGAAACCATCCCAATTTCTCATATGGCCCCCTGAAAAAATTAATTACCCATTCCTGTCCTTGATGATCTCAAAAGTAACAAGAGCAAACCTTATGAATTTTTGCTTTTATCATGTAGAGTTCGATCAGTGTTGGTGTATGCTGTATTGCTCTATCAATATATACAAGCGCCTGTTGAACTGATCCTAATTTGTCATAATGTTGAGCTAACAAATAATACAGCCACAATACTGTGGTTGGTGATTCCGGAAGAGGATTATCTATAAGAATTTTAAATCACTTAATGTTAACTAGTACTTCATAAGAATGTGAAAATTACAATTTGCTATAAGCTTGAATAACAAATGCAAAACTTAAACTAACTGTCCAAAGATCCTTTTTTATACCCGTTTTCTCCTAACCGCTTAACAAATTCGATGAGTGTGCGTTCCAAAAATTGGACCTAAAAACATGTAAGACTAAAACATCCCTCATTTTTTTAGCAAGGTAAATATGAAATGGAAAGAAATGTAGGAGGTACTTCTGAACCGCTAAGTTGTATTATTCACAGTGCTCAAAATTGAGAAAGGGGGAATGAAATTAATACATAATTTAAATAAAGTTAGGAAAGTCTAATTAACACGGATTCTAAATGCCTCCCATTGACGGTCTTTCGAAGGGAAGACCTGAACTTTTGAGAATAGAATACTCCAGCTCAAAGAATCTTGTATAGGGCACTTCTCGAACAATTCAAATTGCTAATCGGAAGTCACCATTTCGCACATTGTAACGAAGTTAGAAACAGTTCTGGAGGTACAGTAGACAAAATAAAAAAAATCAAGAAGAAATATTTGTATTCAACCTTATCGTTGTCTACGTACAGCGGAATGAGATATTTGAAAAGTGAAGGCACGCCTTTTCGGAGACCGGTTATCAGATAATTGAACAGTAAGCTTTCAAATTGGGCGCCTGAAATGTGTATTTAAAGCTGAATGGTACAAAATCACAACAAAATATAATTTGAACTACCTCCAGTTAAAAAATATAATATAAAGGAAATACCATGGAGGAAATAAAGAGGAACTCTTTTCGGAGTGGCTGCATGAGAATTCATTGAAACAGCCTTCTTATAGACTTCATAACGTGCTTCGACATCGTTTTCCGCTGCAGAATTCATAAGTTATGCTTGTTCATTCAAAAATTTCGCCATTGAATATTGAACAAAATGAAACCAAATGATACCCAGGCCTCTGCATTTCTCGATCTGATGGTAATATATAATATTCTCTGGGTTTCTTTCAACCAATTTCCAATATGTCATTTCTGCCTTTGCATTATCGTTCAACGCCATCAAGAGATCCGCTAAAAGATTAAGGCAGTAAATAACGTATTCAAAACATTTAAAATTCCATCTTTATTCCTAGCTTTTTAGTCAACACCCAATCACCTTACCGCGCGTCTCCATATAAGCAACGCGATCAACAATTTGTGATGCATTTTCTTCCAACTTGTTCAGTGCCAATTCTAACTGACCAGATTCACGGAGAATCATATTCTGATACAAGATTAATTCACTTTGCTCGAAATCGTACTCCGGTAACTAAGAAAATGATTGATTAGACATTTAAAATATTCGAAGTATTTTAGAAAAATATAAAACGTCAAAAACATTTCCAAGCATGAATAACTATTTTGTTGCGCAGAAACATTGCTCTGAACGTTTTACAAAGTAAATAGCAAAAACATTACTCCCGAAAAGTATCTTAGAAACTCTTAATTACATCATTTCCCTAAGAAATAACTGGATTTCATTTTTGTAAATATATATTATGAACAGCAAGTTGCCAAGTAATGAAATACATTCTTATGAGTTGATAAACTGCAAGTGAGATTTTGAAATAAAATAATTGGATTTAAAATCAATTACAAATCCAGGAAAAGTAAAAAGACCTCAATTCTACTGCTGTTGCAAAACTCGCTGACAATTTTTAGAGCCATATCGTAATCCTTGAGAAGATGGTATGCTGTCGCATAACCAATCCATGCAATTCGTTGTTGAGGGCGCAGCATAAGCAGTCGATAACGTGAATCCTAAAAGAAATTTAAGATTCCATCGGGACGGTGTGAAATTCTGAACTAAGAGCTCTGAGCATATATGCTGCTTTTTGGATATTATAAGTTGTGCAACATAATTTCCACTGCTTACTCTTGCAATTTCTTCTTTACTTCTAACCCAGCTCAAATATTTGGGAATTGCAAAAGTAAAAGAAAAGAAATTATGCTATAAATGCGGAGGAAATCGGAAGACAGGGACGAATCCAATTCTAGAGAAATTGAAGATCAGAAACAATGAAAGCAAAATTACACCGATCCAGATACAAAACGGGCCAAAGATGGTTACAACTCTAAATCCAATAAAACAATATAATTGACTCTGTAAAGCAGAAGAATGTAGTGGATGTTAGGTAAGAACTGATTGATATGTCATTGTTAGAAAAGTACATAAGAGAGTTTTTGTTTAAAAACCCAAAAATCTTTATTTTGTTGCATTAGAAATGAAAAGACTTACACGATACCCGTCTAAATCTCGCATTTGAATTTGCAGCAATGATAAATCCCTGAGTATCTGCATATTATCATGATCTAAACGTAAAGCCTGCTTATATGCCTTCATCGCCTCATCGTATTTCTTCTCGCTACGCTGTACCAAGCCGAAAACATGCCAACACACATGTGATCGAAGGTCAGCCTGCAACGAATCGCTGTTAAATATTAAAAATCTCTAATACAACTAAACAGAAAAGAAAATTTGCTGCTCCCTTACACTGAATGGTAATAATAACCTTTAAACCTCGTTTGACGCACTCCTGTGCCTCCTCATGCTTCCCCATGCAATTCAAAATCAAACCCTTCATTGCCAACGTTTCTAAAAAAATTATTTTGCATTTTTATAAGCTTTTGCGTCCTTAAATTTCATACTAAAAAAAACTTGCCATTCATAATTTTATCTAAATAAAACTATTCCAACCTCCATGTTCACTGAACTGTGGATTAGACAGAATCATCTTAGCGCACCGAAGGCCATTCTTGTATTGTTTATGTTCATAGTGCTTCTGTAACCAGATAAAGCATAATATGAAAGTTTTCCATTACCAGTTCAATAATCATCTGTCTCTAGATTTGAAGTTAAGAAGTCTAATTAAGAGAAATACTCTTTCTTTCTTGTCTTTCAGCTTTACTTTCTAATCTTCATTTTCAAGGAGTTTTTCCTATTCTTTTTCTTACCTGTTCTTTTTTTTTGTTTCCTTACAAACAAACTTTATTCTACAATACTTCCAAAGTGAATGTTGACTCAAAAAAAAATGTGAAATCTAATGGAAACGTACAACGACTTTACGGAAAAGAGTGAGTTCCTTGGAAGGTAACGGTTGGCTGCTTGACTGTCCCGGAGGTGCCATTCTGATTAGTCTTACACTATCTGTAACACACGTGCACCGATAACACCTAGAATTCGTTTCTCATACAGTTTATGAGAATTTGCAATGACATATGATGATAATTAGTTTCAGAACAACTTGCACCTACGCAACATATCAAATATCAGCGAACAAAGTATTCAATTAAGCAGCAAAAGTATACGAATACGTTCTGGTGGAATGAAAAATCACTACTAAAGATAACTACTTTAAATATGAGACATTAATATTAAATTTAATAAGTTATCTTCGTGGTAATATATAGATAACAATGTAAATGCTTGTAAATCTATCCGGTAGTTTCAGATTGAAATACGAAGAGATTACAGATAGTCTGTACATATTCTATCTAAATCGCCTTCGCAAAATGGGATGCCATACTCTAAAGGACTTCCACCACACTCTTCAAGTCGACAGCTCCAATCTCGCTCATAACTTCCTCTGGCCACCACTACCCCATCTCAGTGGATCAGCTACTCCAAATAACTGATTATTATTGCCATATTTTAACTCTGTCCGGGCGGAATGAAAATTATAATCTCTCATGTTGTTTTTGATGCGAATCACGAATTCCGCTACAGATGAAAAATTAAGAGCTTCTAAGAAATTAGGCAATTAACTTATGTTCCCACCTGTTGCAAAATAAGACGCACAACCCGAAAACGAGTTGAAGAGTTAAAACATATCGCATTTCTCCCTAAGCTCCGCACATCCGAAACTTGTGAAAACTATCCTCTTCCGTGTTTCGTTCAGATTTATTCCTGTGTAATACCTCGAATTTTGGGAGTGTTTGGAGGAGTGAGCAAGCGTAATTGTAACGGATAATAGAACAATTAAGTAGCTATGAAAACTGGCCCAGATTTCTAAAAGGAATCGGAAATCCGATATTCTTCAGGACTACCATGACTATTTGTAGATTCCTAGATCCTCTTCGTGAAAAGTGAATTTTAATAAGGAACTGAGTCATTTTAGTCAGTCACAATGCCTTAGTACAGGATTTTTTTCCATACATTGAAAATTGAGAAAACCAATTACTGCTTCTGAAGAATGAAAAGTAATGAAATATCAAATCCACAACATTCTCTACGCTGAATGATACCTTGTGGAAAACAAAGAAAATATTTCATCGTTCCCTAGAGAACTGGGCATGTGAGATACATGAATACAGTGGTGAAGTACCTACACCGAAGATAGATAAAGATCTGTCATGAGATCCATATGACCCTATAACTGATTTCCTGAAAAATACTCACAGCCTCCTGAAAATGCGAAGTAAGATGTAACACTTCAAACTTCGTCGTTCATTCTTGGACATTTTTTACTTAAATGAAAAAGTGTAATTTTTTGCGTGGTGACATGCTTTCTTATATATACATCACTTTCATAGTTATAATAGCCACATACCCTACTGTACTTATACCATCCATCTGCACTTTCACTACATTATTTCTTTTTTCTTTTTTACACTGGACTCTGATGCTTTATAAACAATCAGTTTAGAGTAGGAAGCGTCTCACAATTGAAAAGGAATGTAAATAGCACAATTGAAAATTTAATTAATTTTGCTTCTTTGCTTATCACCAACATGACGGAAAGCTCCAGCGCAATATTTGTTACCCATCGCGAAATCAGCAAATTCTCGAGAAAATTTCATATGAAAATCGTATACCATATCCGGAGTTGGCAGAGCAAACTCCCTAAATTGTTCATATTTATTAAATCGATATTATTGTGGTTCCTTCGGTGAGGACCTGTTTGAAGTTCTAAGCGACCGCAAAGACACTACTTGAAAAGGAGAACTCTGAGAATAACACTCCTAGTTTTGAAACCTCAAAAGTAACCCGCTCAACAAGTACTATTACTGAAAGAGGAATTGTTTCTTTAAAACGTTTAGTTTTCGTATGAACCAACTCCAATTTGAAAAGTATCTCTCGGACACATGCATGTGACTGCTTCACAACTTTTAAGTTTCATTCAATTTCAACCAGAAATGCACTTACTCAACGTACACTGCAAGCATTATTTCTGCAATCACAATTGTACCACATATTCGGAACAAATTCCTTCTATTTACTTTATGAGTTGTCTGAGTGATCATTGCACAAAATTTGAGAGCAGATAATCTCATTGTGGTTTAATATCCTAAAATTTCATTCATTAATGTAGCTTAATAATTTATTCGTTTTCTATGTTATCATTGTCGGATCGATATTGAAGAATAAGAAAAAAAGGAATAATTAGGGAACGATTCACTCGTACTCCTTTTCTCAGAACTGTATTACAATCCCAAAATTAATTATTTCACATATCTTAAATCACACTATTATTGATTAAATCTTCTCGACCTCTAAAATCACGCTATCCTTAAATTACTCCAACACCTACCCTCTTCATTTCAAACAACTCATTTGCTATCACAATTGCCCATACCTCTCTCTCTCTCTCACTACTACCCTTCTGGATGTATCATTTCGTTATGTCGTACGTTGTCTTTTGTCCTCTCTACAACCGTATAGCTACTTGTGCTAGTATATTTCCTTTAAATATTGAGAAAGTTGTGTAGCAAAGAAGCAGAGAATGCTTGTCGAATGGTTGAAGGCCGAATAGCTAAGGGATTGCTAACACTCAGGTTAGGTTACTTTGTTCTCAAATGTATTGAAATGGGTAGGGCTGGTATTGTCTTCCAGCGGTTTGAAACATTGTTAGAATTAATTTGAGGCACTTCAAGACTCTTTTATTTTGATGAGATGAAATCTCTCTTGCTTAAAAATTCATATTGTTCGATATCTACGCACTAAATGTCACTTCCTTATAATATCGAGCAACATTCAAACTTTTCTATCCTTTAGATACATTTGCAGGAAATGGCTCAAATTCATTGCCACAATGGCAGATTATACATTGCCGCGGGAGGGAATATTTTCGAATTTATTTTTGTAGTTGATAGCACTTCTTCAAAGTTAAAACTCTGTCGAAATATCTTAGTTCCATTCAAGGATACCACAGCTCGAAGGGAGGAAGATCAGGCTAGTAATTTATCTGTTGATTCCTTAATTTGTTGGCAGTGATTTATAAATAATGAGGTAGTTCCCTAGGTAGTGACTATATTTCATATCTCTTGCTCTTTCCTCATCTCTCGCTATTTCAACATTCGTGGCATCATGTGTACTTAAAATATGGTATTTGCACAAGTAATGGGTATTTCCATTTAGGAATTTCCAATTCAATGCCTTTATTGTTTGAGTCCTTATTTCTGAATTGTTAGGGGGGAGAAAAAACGAATGGAGGAAGTTAGGGAGAAACATGAGTATGCATCAGATTTCGGATTCTCTTTGAACATGATGTCCTTACTGGTGCTTCTGATCTGTCATTCAACACCAGTGTGTTCCTTTAAAAAACTTGGAATAATTATAACTGAATACTGCGAATGAGAAATGAAATTTGAACAACCAGAACATATCCAGACTAAGAAACTATGCAACATCAAAAAAGAGGCAAATTCCCAATATTTCAGAACGTTTTTAGATTCTGGCAAGTGCACTGAGTGCGGATGGCACATTGTTCGCGGTTGCTACTACATCAAAAGAATGTTTTCTGTACAATGTTCTAAAAGATTGGGTAGAAGTACGTCCAGCAGTGCAACTGCCAAAAACTCCAACAGCTGTGATTTTCGAATGTTCCAAAAAATTTGTAATTTTATCCGATCGAGCGGGTAATGTTCGACGATACAGCTTGGACACGAAAAATTCAGAGAAGAGCAGAAGCAATGAACTCACTGATGGTTGTTAGGCTTTCACATATGTAGTTTTAAAAGATTTAATAAAGCTTATTTATCTTTATCCTCTAATTTCAAACCCTATTCTGGAACAATATTTTTTCAAAGATTTTGTAAACGCTTCTGTTATGTCTTTTTGCATGATTGTTTCGTTTAGTTTTTAGATGAGGAAAGTTGTGAAGGCGAACTTTTGTTGGGTCACATATCAATGGTCTTGGATATTGATATATCAGATGACCGGAGGTTCTTGATAAGTGTCGACCGCGATGAGAAAATTCGTATTTCACGTTATCCCGAGTGTTACGTCATACATCGATTTTGTTTGGGTCATAGTTCATACGTAAATTCGGTTCAATCAAAGGGCACGTTGCTTTTTTCATCAAGTAAGTTGATATATTGGTAATAAAATCTGAATATGAGATAGTTGGTTGAAAATTAAGATTCGATGTAAAGGTACCAATTTAAATGTTTGTTCAGGCAAAGAATTTTTAGGTGGTGATGGTACTTTAAGGGTTTGGGATATGGAAGATGGAAAGCAAATTGCGCAGTGCGATTGTCTCGACAAAAAGGCTATTCGTCGTTGTCAAGTGTTTCCGAACTCCTCTTCGAAGGTATTCAAATCTTCGAATCCCTTCGGATTCCTCTTGGTTTTAATTTGGGTTAATTTAGTTTGTCTTTTCAGATAATGACGAACTACGTATAAAATTTTTGGAATAAAAAGCTTTTCGAACTCCTTTGCTGTCTAAAAAGCATCTTGCATACTGGACATTAACCTTTTGTCTGTTGTACTGGTTGAGAGTTTCGTTGCTTTCCTTTTTTTATAATATGTACTGCTATTGTTATTCTGAATGCTTTCAGGGATATTCGATCTGATTTCTCATTTTAAAGACTTAAAGTACTACGTTAACATGTAAATTATTGTTAAGCTTCGAAGTTTGCTTCTAAGCATCCAAAAAACAGTATGATTACTTACAGGACATAAAGTTGGCTGTGATTTTCGAACACTGTAAAACAGCACAAATTGTTACCTTCATCCGAGAAAACAATAATTTCAAAATCGAGTGTCTGACTTGTTCAGACTTTATTGTCGACATTGCTGTAGAAGAAAATGGAGTTTTCGCCTTTGGTATTACAAGGTAATCTTTCATGATGATTTCTTATGGTTTAAGCGGTATTTTCTATCCTTTTAGTTTTCTTTTGTTTTCCGATAGATGTACTTGATTTTTCTAACTTGTAGGTCAGCAGTTGTTTTCGGGAGAGTGGATGAGGGCTGCCTTGGATCAATTAATGATATCGATGAATGTGTTGTAAATTGTTTGAGTTCATTTAAAGAGACCTCATTACCTTTGGAAAAAAAAATCGGATTTAATAACGTGGAAGATTATAAGCAGCGCAAGACTGATCGTATAGGGAGGAAAAGACAAAAATTATCAGTAGGTAGTGGGTAGGGCTTCATATGTCAAACTAATTGTTTTGTAAGTGGGGCGAAGTTTCCGTGTTATCACCTTTTATGGGTTATTAAATTAACAAATTAGTATTTTTTTGTCGAAGCCAAATTTCTTACTTATCCTTTGATTTGCTGCTTAAAATTAACCATGAAACTTACTCTTCATTTTTATAATTGATTTTTTCAAGGATTTTATGTTTTAGATTTGTTACACTAATATAAACAACCGATCTTCTTGGCCGTTTCTTTTAACTTATGAAATGTAATAATGATAGGGGAAATAAGCTTTCTGTTAAATTGATTCTGTATTGCAAGTTCAGAAATTTTCGAATTTTGAGTTTCACTGTTCTAGAAAATGCTCTAAATAAGACAAAAATTGCAAGCATTTCAAAATTAGCTGTTATTGGGTATAAGTTACGGTAACTGTTTATGCAAACCATTGATTTTTGAGTAAAATTAATTCTATATGCGGCGTAGATGTGAATGTTGCGTGAATGTAGTTCAGCAACTGTTGCCATGAATAAACGTTTTGTGCAGCTATTTGTTTAACATACACATAATTGCATGGAGCGAAAGAAAAGTGCTGAAAGAATCTAAATGTGAACAGGTTTTGAAGAGCCAACACTGGTGGTTGGGAAAGTGCTGATGAAAGATGTGTGTATCATGTCAACTTTGACATTATATATTGAATGACCTGTCAGATTGTGTAACTGTGGAAGCTGTGGGACTGAGCAATTGCCCGACCTTTTGGATTTGGTAACTGACACCCAGATGACTGTGTTTAACACTCCAGACGCACTAGGTTGACTGCCAGATTAAATTTTTACAAAATTTGCTCATAAGTTCCCTATAACATTCCGATAATTGCATCTAAACTTGATTAACAGATTGGAAAAAATTCACAGCAAAGGGCTTTTTCTGCAACATTAAACTTTGCAATTAAGATTGGTTAAAAAAAAATGGAAGACATCACATTAGGTGCCGAAATATTTATTTTGTTAATTTTGTGTAACGATGTAGCAAGAGATACTTTCTTTGACTTTGATTGTAAGCATAGTCGAATAGTGATAATAATGGTTTGATGGAGAACTGTTTCTTTCTGGATGTTATAGGACAGTTAAGCGAATATTATAGGTTGAATATTCAGGAGATGTTCTTCCTTTTGCTTGTCGATATTGAAATCATAGCCGAGATTTAAACAGCAAAGTTTATTAGGATATAATACACTGATAGTTTCTGTGAACAAACTGAGAGAAAAGGGTCATCTTTCGTAATTGAACCTTATCCTTATATAGTGAGAGTTGTTTACAATATAAGTTGTAAAATGACACCTTACAAAACATTTTGTGTTTTGTTAAAAACATTTTGTAAGATCTTTGATGCGCAAATTTTTACATCATTAAGAATCTTTAAAATTACAAAACGTTTGGATGAATTTGAAAAATTGGCAATAAAAGATCTGCCTGTACAGTTAAACAAAAGGATTTATTACTTTAATTATGAAATACTATATTTTCATTTCGAGTAATAGTTTTATAATATGGAAAAAAAAAGACGATGATGTGTGAGACTTGTAGAAGACTTAGGTGCCATTCGTGTAACTTATATTTTTTCTGCATTCTTTAACTTTCTGGTGATTATTAATGATAGAAGTTTGGATATGCTTCATTTAAAAAAAAAACAAAAAATAAAAAACAAAAAAAAAACTGATCTGTTAAGAATGCTCCATTCTTACTGTATCAGTCTCAGAGTGTTTAAATTCATATTTGTTATTCATCATAATATATCAAATGTGATCATAATGGAATCTGATAACCTGTGATTTAAATTTTATTAAAAAGCAATGTGTAACAAATATTATCTTACTTGGAGCTATGCCCTTAATAAAGAATGCAAATAGCAAATATTGAAAATGGTCTTTAGTAAGCTTTCAATTTTGTATAGTTGATCGTAGGAAGAAAAAAAGGATGAAAATTAAAAGAAAATATAACAAACCTGGACATTAAACATAGCTAGAGTAGTGTCTAATTTTCATTAAGTAGCTAGGTGGTTTCAAATGAATTCTTCTTATCCCTCGCAGATTTTATGACTAATGTTGGAAATATATTGATATTTCTTTCACTTACTTATCAATATGGAGAAAATTAGCTTTATATCCTATTCTTTATTTCATTCTTATTGTAAATTTTTTGTTGAGATCTTTTTTTTCGTTGAGATTAATTTTGTTATTTATTCCCTACATATTTCTTGCGAAATGCTCATTTAGAATTGTGTCACTAATGTCACACTATACAAAATCGCACTACTCGTATTTGAAAATACCTCACTTCAATTGATTGTTTGCGTGCGGTCGCGTGCTGAAACTTACATTTGATGTCACAATATAATCGGAATTTACAGATCTTTATACACAAAGCATTCATCTGAAAATAATCGATTTACTGTTCTTTCAGGCGTATTTCCGATATTATACTCTATTTGAATGATATTTTTTAGGTTACCGATTGTATTCACGCATCTTTGAATCGGTCAGTATTCGGATCTTTTTGCAAATTCGTTGAAAATTTATGCTCCTTGCTTCAGATAATAATTTTTGTAACAACGACAATTGGCTTGTTGTGAACAAATCTTCAATCAAACTCATGCTATTAATAGTTCCGTTCGTCAATTACTATCTTGTTTGCAGATATTAGTCCTCGCATTATCAATTTCGCTTTTTATAATATTATTGTTGCTTCTTCTATTATTTTTATTTTGTTACTTTTTATAAATCACTAGTGAATCCATTTTTACGTGTTGCTTTTGCATGCCACCAAATGCAAGTCTGATGGATGAAATGACAATAAACAGCTAAGGTCTGAAGTAATGAGAATTCTCAAAAATAAGCATTTTGCATTGAATGACCGAATAGTTCTGGGGAAAAAATATCTGAATCCTTTCCTTATTGGGATATATCGGGAAACATTGACAGATTGTCCAAAATCATCTCCATATTTTTCCAACTAATTCGAAAATATTTTCTGAAAATTTTTATCATGCATATTATGCGTACTAACAGTTTAACTATTATAAAGAAAGGTTAGGCTTGTTTTAGCTTGAAATTTCTGAACCTAAAATCTCCAAGTCACTGAATTCTACTGAATTAATGCTATTTGGTATTTCGCCAACAGTTAAAATTCCTGAAAAATTTGTCGGCCAAGGAAGGAGGATCAGGTGCAAAAACGGTTGTCAGAAGAGAGCGTATAGAAATGGATCAAATACTTCTCATTCTCATTTCCGTTGTTGGCACACATGTGTTTATGCATTCATGAACTTAGTGAATTGGTTATTCTCTCACCGTCAGTGAATTAATGATCAATTTGATAGGAATCATACTGAATGTTCAACGGTTGGTTTCGGAATCCTATAGTAGAAACATTATATGGAACCACAGCTAATAATTGTAACTTCATTCGGTAGGAAATGAGTAATGATAGATATGTTTAATCTGTGATCATGTGAAATGATTATCGGGAATTCTGAATTTGATCATCCGGAAATAGTAACATAGCTTCTGAATTCATCATTCATTTCAGAGGATAACTTGAAACAGTTGAGCAAAGAAAGTTAATGGGCGACCATCAGACTTGTTGAAGTGGAGCTCATTGGCTGAAGAACTTCATTTGGATTACAATTCAGCTTATTTTGAAGCATATCGTAGTATGAATAAAAATAAATTTATGGTTTTTAGATTAAGTTGACATTCCAAATTACAATAGTACCAAATTCTAGACATTTCTGATGAACATTTTCACAGATTATTTTGGTAAGAAATGGTAGAAATCATAATGTTCCTTAAGATAATTTCTTCAGTTTAACACACTGCGAACTTTGTAAAAATCTTTTGCAAAGGAATTTTGAGAAGTATGTGAATATAATATCAAGACGTACTCCGTCTGTGGTTTCCTTACCGTTTACGTTACTGTTTGTGCAGCGTATGCTTCGACGTCATGGTTCCACCAATTATCAGAACCTTAGTTCAGTAATTTGAATTTGGTACGGAATTGTTCTACTAGTATAGTATCGAATCTAGATATTGATGGAACGTCGAGCAGGTGTAACTTATTGATATCGAATTTGTTAATGCACCGTCGCCATTAACTCACTTATGATATTAACGCATTGAAATATTTCTCAACGGTTCAGGGATGAATGAAATTTTTAATGTTTTGTCATTTTTTTTTGATTCTAGAAGTCTTGAGAAAAGTATAATCTTTGGATAGGAATAATTTAATAATTTACCTTTGTAACAAATTAACATTTATGGATTTAAGTAGAAATTTGTTATAAGCTAGGGATTTGCCTACAATCTTCAATTAATTCAGAGACCCATTGAACAAGTTCAGTTGTACTGCTCATGTGTTATATATGGATAATAATTTCCTTGAAAAAATATGTGTGTAATTAAATTAGTGCTATTAATAACCACTTTCCTTTTCTCAAAATTTGAAGTCATTTGATTTAAAATTTCCAATGATCTTCCTCGGCAATGTTCGCTTTGATATACAGCAAATGATTGGAATTCAAAATAGTTCTTCGATATGGATACGATAATGTCTACCTTGTCAACTATTTGTTGTCAGGAATAATTTTTATGACATAGCGACATTTGTGTGCCGTACCAGCATAATCACCATTAACTAAATGACATGTCATTCGTTTGAATGCTTATTTTATTTGAATAATACTTGATTATTATCTATGCGTTTGCTAGTAAGAGGAACGACTAATGTGCATTAACAATGTAGTATATGAAATGAAAAAATGGTACATCCAAGTAAATAGATGAATTTCTGTGAGAGATTTTTCAAACTGTACAAGGTTAAAAAGAGAAGTCAAGATTAAAACCATTTATGTTAGCCACCGATTTTATTCAGGTAAATCAGTCATGGTCAAGCATAATGCAAAGGAATCTGAAATGATTAGTTTTAAGGATAGGGAAGAAAAGACACTTTCACTAGTCTGTATCTTTTTAAATAAAATAATTCAGAGTAGAAATGGTCATAAAAATGATAATATACTAACACTATTTGATTGAAAGAAGAAAGGCGAAATTTTAGCAATAACGAATATATGATAACTTCACTGTGATTGAATTTCAATTTCTGAGATAAAATTGCCGCAGAAAATGACAGTTGCTGTTGTACGATTGCAAACAACTGTTGTATATATCATTTTATGCTAATGTCGCAGAGCAAAAAGTTTTAGTGGTTTGACAATTGCATTACTATCAATTACAGATATTTTAAACTTCGACCTAAGCCGATTTGAAATCTTGATATCCGGTATTTTCGAAATGATAGATTCCACCTTTTGATCTGACTCAAACGGAGTCGACGATCTGGTGCCTAGTTCCTCAGTGAGCTGGTTAAACAATGCAACTGTTGTATCATTTTCAGATGAGATTAGTTGCGCAGTTCCCTCATGATATGGCTTTGATATCGATGCTGCTTCATTATCTGAAATTAGAACCATTAACTGTATTCACAATACTGGAAACATCTCTTTCTGTCACTCGG